CTTTAATTAATGATAATCAAATATCATATGAATTTAAATCAACTTCACGAATAAAAATGATGCATATGCATGAGTTTTAGTTATTAATTTATAATTACGTTCAATTAAATGTATATATAATTCATTATATTCTTTTGTTCTTTGTTCAAGTAATATACTAGATTTACATAAATTATAACTTATTAAGGATATTATTACACCATCTTCATCAAACCATGTACAAAAATATTCATCATATAAATTTGATAAATGTTGTGATGATGGAAATAAATCAGATAGATATATAAATGAACCTATTAATTTATATTACATATGTTTCAATTAGAATTTGTAATGATAATGTTAAATCAAAGCCATGATGAAAAAATAATCGATCAAATAAACTCTAAATTATATATTTTTAAAGATGGATGCCAGCAAAGAAAATGTTCATACTCTAATTTTTTGATTGATAGAATTTATTTGAAATTATTGATATAAACTTTTATCTCTATGAAATAAGATAGTTTGCATGTATTATATATCAAATCAAAGTCAGAGAAACACTAGATTTTCTCTTTGATACAATATAAATCATGTCAATAAATATATGATATGTATATACATATTTAATTTTTCTTGTTAAATAATAAAGATGATCAAGATCATTAAATAATAAAAGTAATAATTGAATACAAGATCTTTTATCTGGTTCAATTAAATTAATATATGATTATAATATATTTGATATAGTTAAACCATGTCGTTGATAAATATATTCAAATATTGATAATAGTATTTTCGGTAACATACAACATGATATTATTTGATCTGTTTCACAACTAAGAAATGATGTTTTTTTTTGAAATATATTTATATAAATTATTTCAGATATAAATATTATAAAACGTAATAAATCATGTATATCACCTGTTGAAAATTGACATGTTAATTCAACATGATTTTGTATTTTATCAAAATATATTGATATAGAATCTATGAATACAATTGAATATGGTTGATTATTAGAAGCATGATAAAAGACTTTTTTCATAAATTGTATTAGGTGTTGTTTCAATGTCATGTTAATTTGTTTCATTTGATATAACTATACAAAATCCTAGGAAAACAAACAAAGAACAGATTTATATTGTTTCTTATTTTTCTCAAATTAATTTTCATTTACTATAAGAATCATCCTAAAAATGTAATGCTGTGGAAAAAATCCAATACGTTTTCAGAGTTCACGAGTTGAAACTTATAGAAAGTTTATCGAAATTCTCGAATGCAATTTATTTCGAAATATAATATTAGAAAGACGTCGTTTTCTTTAATTGTAATAGTACAAATAGCACGACTGAGAATTTGATCAATAAGATTCGAGAGGAATTATTCGATCATTGTACTAATGTAGCTTAAATGCTTTCCTTTACGATTTGTATTACCTGAAATTCTGCATATTTTCTATTTCAAAATATTTTTCGAAGTTTTGAATTATTCAAAAGTCTCATCTATTACTAGCACATAAACAATGTCAAAGTAAAAAACAAAAAAATATCTTTTCATTTGATTAAAATTTTTATTATACATATATATATTTATTTCGATAAATTAAACTAAAATATACCGGTGACATCATTAATGGTAATCATTTTTTATAAGTTATATTTTTAAGCATTTGTGCATAAATTTTTCTTGTTATATCCATAGGACAATTCAGATTATTAAAATCTTCTTTAATAATATCAATTGATGTTGTTATTGATAATATTTATAAAATTCATAGTATATATTTAGGTAATAATTGTTTATTTAATGGTAATGGAAGAAATTGTTCAATTAATAAAACTAATATAAGACCACTTTCATATAAATGTATTCCTTCAGAAACGAATAAATGACTTCCAACTGATGTATGATGTATAAGATCAAATAAAAAATAATAATAATAATTGATAATGTGCTGTTATTGATGTAAAAAGTTCAACATATAATTCATGATGACATATTAAATCACAATAAGATTGTAATTGACCACTTATTAGATAAATGTATTCTTGATGATGATGGTGTTAGTGTCGGTGACCAACATGCTTCTTGTATATAATCAAGTATATTCAGAATATGTGTCCATTGTAATAATAATGAGATATAAAATGATGATCATAATAATTTAAAACATTCATTTAAAATAGTTAAATATGAAAATATATCAAGACAATGTAGAGCTTCATCATGAATTCATAATTGATGAAAATCATTTACAATTGATCGAAATTGTTTAACTAAAATAAAATCATAGATCTTATATAAGCATAGGGTTGTTAAAGTCAAATGTTTTTCGCTAGGTCATTAGTAATTAATGAATCGAAAGAAAGTTTTATCTTCAAATTAATGGGTGATATGTACATAAAGATAATCGGATGCAAGAGAACCTAATGTCATATTGATTTGACCACATAATTGTCGAGTATTAGTTAAAATTCATAATATTATATCATGTAAAACACGAAGAAAAGCTCTGAAAACAAAAACGAGAATAAAAGTTTTTAAATTATAAATAAAATCATTTCGAATACTTACGCACTAAAAGTTTCATCTCGTGTTCCATTAACTGATAATAAAATATCATTCTATCGTGTTAATATAGCATCTTCAGTTAAATTTTGTACAAGACATCGAAGTATTATATTTATATTGACTAACTATCGATTTGTAGATTGATAATTGACATTCTAAAAGAAATTTTGAACTACAGGAAAATTTTATAAATAAAAACAACGAACATTTCTATTTACTAATGCTCGAAAAGCAATAACAAATGGATCAATTGATCGTAATTCAACTGATGATACAACATCAAATAGTGTTAATTGTGTGGAATAAATATCCAAAAGTGATTGATCCTATTTGAACAAAAAAAATAACCTGAGATAAACCAATAGTAACATGTGATTGTAAATGAACAAGAAGTACATCGACAATTTATCGTGAAAGACGTTTCCATTTATCATCTTCAATTTGAACACTATTGACAATAACTATGAACAATCGTAAAGCCTATAACAATATAAATTCTATTATTATTTTTTCAGTACATACACATGACATGAAAAGATACTTTTATTTATAATAATTAAGACGTCTAGTTTTCCTTCAAACTCAAATACATAACAACAAGATAATTATTTTCAGATCATCAATTCGTTGAAGTGTGGGTGTGGGTTCAATCGAGGAGAAAAATGACATCTACACACCCACACTCACACTCTCTCATTTAATAAAACGTTTTAGGAATTTTAATTATTCGCATAACTCGAACAAGAAAAAAAATCATATAAAACTAGTTTTAATGCTGCCAAAGCTAAATAAATAATTTTAACGATAATTTATTTTTCTCGAAAATGTTTTTTTTTGCTTCCTACCATGTGTTTCAGGTTCATGTCCACTTGCTAATAATTAATCATAATGTTTTATTGGTATAGTGGAAAAAGACAGAAAGGAAAAATATCGAAAGGGAAAAATGTCGAAAATGAAAATATCGAAAACAAAAATAATAGAAATTTAGATGAATGTAAGTGATGAAAACGAGAGTATATTGAAGTATCAATCTCCCTCACCCTCATCTTCAACTTTACTGGTTCATATTCATGTTATTTTTTTGTTTTCGACATTTTTATTTTCGATATTTTTCCCTTTCGACGTTTTTCCTTTCTGCCTTTTTCCATCCATTCGTTTTATTAAATCTTGTACTTTAATAACTTGTTTTGAATGAAGTGTATCATGTAATAACATAACAAGAAATTCAGCAATACAATAAACAAAATGCTATTTAAAAATAAACGAAACGATTAGAAATGCAACGAATTTCATCAGCTTCTAATCAACTATAATTAACACGAATTAAAAGTAATTGAACAAGTAAATTGAGTACAGCAGCTTGAAAATCACTTTCACTTCTATTAATATATTTTTTAAGACTAATTTTATAGTTCAATAAAAACTAAAATAGAAAACAAAAACAACAGAATAGATCAAATTCATTTTTTTGTTTATTTTACTCTCGTATTGCACTATTTATACTTGATGCATAACATGAACTAAATAAAATAAATTATCGATTGTCGAATACTTATTGTATGAATATAAGTTAAAGAATTATTTAATGATACTTGTGAAGAAACATTTGAAGATTTAATAAAAACTAAATTAAAAGAATATTTTTAAATGAATGTTGTGTTAACAGAAAAAATGATTTTCAAATTTCGAATTGATAGCGTTTCTTGCAGATCGCTCACGTCAACTAGATGATTTAATATTTGAATTTCAAGATAGAACCGAATCAAAAGATCTGACACTTTCACAACAAAACTACTCTCGTTAAGATCGCCGATATTCGTAAAATCAGTTTTTCTGTTACTATGACATTCTTATATTGAAATTTTCCTTCTCTAGGAAAGACCCTTCCAGAAACCTTCGTTATAAGATTTCCATCTAAAGTTTTATCCATAGACAAGTTTCAGACACAATACGACATCCTAAAGGTTTTAGCTTAAACAATAAATATTTACTATTTAAAAGAAGTTACCTCTTGTGTACATTGAATGTTGATTTAAAATAATTAAGTGTTTCTTCCAAATTTTTTTGATAAATCTTGTGTAGAAATAAGACTTAGAACTGATTTCATAGACAATAATAATCATTTCTGATGAATTTAATAAACTTTTATGTATTTGATATTATGAACATATTAATTCGAATAATTTCCAAAAGTATCTAATTGTGCATGATTAACTTTTTTAACTTTCTCTGTGCTTGATGTTGTTGATGAATCTTTATCATTCTCTTTAAAAAGAAAAAAACAAATGAATTCATTCAGACGAAACATGATCAAATATATTCTTCAAATCTAACACTTTAGAACTCCTTTCTTCTGTGAAAACTGAAATATCAACTATATTCTGTCCAAAAGAATGATGATAAAATAGTTCAATTTTCCGAATTACTTGAATTATTTGTGCTACTTTCAAAACATTTTTTCGTTTGCTGAGATTTGATAAATCTTCAAATAAAAAGAAAGAATTCAAAAAAAACATAATAAATATCTTTTTTTTTCTCTTTACTTGAAAAGATTAAATTATTAAGATCATGTAATATAAAGGGATGTTTAAAAAAATTTATAAATAAACCAAGTTCATCATATTGATTATGAAAAAATTGGTCGAATTGTTGTTGATCTTAAAACATTTGAAAGCACATAAATATCTTTTAAACATCCAACCTATATAAAAGACAAAAATAACAAACAATTTGTATTCGATTTGATGCTTGAGCTTGGAATGAATGATGAATTTTATATATCCATTGACAAGGTAAAAATGAATTGTGATCAACAAAACCTTAAAATCAAAAAGTAGCTAATAACTAACTTAATGCAATAAAATCGACTTATTCATCCAAATTCGAAAAAAGCTACGTAGTTATTATCTCTACAAAATACATAGCAAAAGTCGAAGCAATTGCTTGACGAACACGTATATCAGGGTACTGTTGTTTTAATTGTTGTTCAAGATAAGTTAATATTCGAAAATCAATATCATCTATAAGTTGAGCTAGAGCAAACTATTCTATGTACATACAAAAAGAAATTATTATAATCATAAATTTCTTTTATCTACTTTAGCAAGAGTACAAAAACTTGTAGTATGTTGAATAGAATCTTCTAATAATTTAATTCCTATGATTGTAAATACATGACTATTAATTAATAAAAAAAGGTAATAATGTTCGTAAAGCATTTAGTGAAACATGTATAACACGTGCATTATTATCATTAAGACATATAACCTTGAACTGTCTTGTGAATCAGTTGATACAAGTGAACATTGTTTAATAAAAGATGAATTGTTGTTTGAATTAATGTAGCAAGTAAACTTGCACATGCACCACGTAAATGTAGATCACCATGTTCACATAAAGATAAAAGATATGTAATATCTTAAAGAAAGGAAAAAAAAAGATGCCTTGATGTTCGATAAATTTTAATGTATTTCAAGTCATATAGAGATGGGAATTTTATTTTTCTCATTAGGAAATTTCATATCAATTACAAAACTATATTTAATCAGAAATCTTCAAAGACTAAAGAAAAACTCCTTAGAGGATACAATTGATTTCATATCTCGAACTTCGGCTTAGAACTATTTTTTGAGGTAATTGTGTGATTGTATAATTTCAATCTCTGATGTATAAATGCAGGCTTTGAGCTTTAATAAAGTGTTCTACTTGATATCTTTTCGAGTCTGATAATGTTCTAGTCTTTTGTTGATTCCAAAAAAATTAAAAATAGGAATAGGACTAGAGTTGCTGAATCAATATTCAGAAATCTCCATTCTTGAATTTTCAGATTCCAATATATATATATATGTTTCAACAATCTAATAGTGAAATTGTCATATCTATCAGATAACTTTCACTAAAACTTTGAGACCTTAACCAATTGAAGCCACGTCAACTAAACTCTGCCACAATCCCCTTCACCTAGGCCCTCCTACTGTTACGACATTAGAAATAATTTTGGATTATAAAAAAAAGTCAAACAAGAATTAAACATACTTTTAGTAAGATAAACAAATGGATCAAATTGTTGATAAATACGATAGACATATTGGTATAGCACATTTAACATTCATCATTACTTTTTATCGTACCATCCATATTAAGTATATATCTAATCGGAAAAAAAATATAATTGATTAACACGTTTAGCAGCTGATATTCATTTTTCATTATTAATCATTGAGGTTGAATCGAATTCATCATTCATTTCAATAAATCAACGTTGATATGTTGAATAAGCCATTGTTTTAGAAAAAAAAAACAAATGAAAAAAAAATTCTTGTTTTTTTTTCCTCACTATTTACTTGTTTTTAAGGCTTCACTAACACGAATTTCTTCTATAGATCCAATTTGAATTGAAATTAATAATTGATCAAAATCAAATAAATTTGAATATTTAAGTATAATTTCATGTGTTTCCAATGAACTTGATACAACATTATGATCATTATGTTGTAAAAAAATATAACATACCACATCAACACACTAAAAAAAAGATTTACATTGAAATTAAAATCATTCATTATTTGTTGAATACTGATAGAAAGATGTTATTCATTTGTATCAATATTTTTTACTTCTATTCATTGATTGTTGATTATTGCTTGATTATGATTGAAATTCTTAGATATTTAAACCAAATAATTGAGGATCGGAATGTGTAGGAATAAGCAATACAAACACTCACACCCACTTCTCAAAATGCCTGAGTCTTCTTAAAGCATATTCGCCATACTTTCTTCGGATGCATCTAACGAAGTTTGAGTGATAAATAGAGTTTTTCATACATCGAACGATAAAATAAAAAATATAAAATTTTTCATTTATTTATTTTGAAGCTTTCAACACTACTTCTATAATTATCAATTTCAAAAAAAAATTTTACGATAGAAAATATTTATATATATTAGAATAAAGTTCAAAGTCTAATGAATCATCATAACTCAAATTTACGCTTATACAAGTATCAGTGTATATTTTATCATTGCAACAACACGAAACGCAAAGGTAAGGTAAAAAAGGAAGAAGTAGAATATATGAAAAACGAAACGTATTTTATGACGAACACATGGTCGAAAAAGTCGTTTACATGATGAAAAAGTCATGCTTCATTGATTCATGTAAATATACGTTTGTGGGAAAAAACCAAGTAATTTTGTCAATGATAAATACAGAACAAAATCGATTGCAAGCACACAAAACAAAATTTGCTACACTCCAATATTACATAGCACGTAAGTGTATTTAGTTTCTAACATTATTAGACTAGTAAGAAAATTAAAGTTAAAAGTAAAGAGTAGCTACACACAAAAAAAATGACGGTACATAAACATGTGTTATTTTTATGTTTATAAAGTAGTTTTACGAGAACTTCGCTTGATGATACATGCAATCGATTGTCTTGGTTGCAGAATCTTGTATGTATAAAACAATCTTATTGTAAAACATATTAAACAGAGTAACTGTTTCTATGCATAAATTTCAACGCGAATACCAGCAATGAAAGGCACAATTCTTACTTTTAGAAATACTCTTTTTCTGGTCTACCGACTAATCTGGATTGATTAGATAGAGAAACGGGTTAGACATGTCGAAGTTTGAGGACATTCTGGACTAATTCAGACGTAGCTGCAGGAGTTTTCATGTCAGGATAACTAGTTAAGACAGGTATTTTCGACATTTCGGACTAGTCATGTCGTCCGTCCTTAGCGACTATTTGTTTCCTTAGCCATTCTTCTTTATTTATGGTTTGATGTATTTTGTCGGTAACACTCTTGAAACAAAAATGAACCAGATAGTAGAGGTTCTTGAAGTTTGTAGCCACAAGTCAGAAAAGGAATGATGTTAACCAACAAAAAATTTAACAATTATAAATATAGGAGACTTCATTTCACTGATTATATTCATTCGTTCAATTACAATGAGCAAACAAAAATCGACAACAACTGTTATCAGTGGTGCAGCAGCGATGCCTAGCACCACCACTATTATCAATGCGAACAATCGTGCTGCTGCTGTGTTGTCTCGACCTATGCGTCGGGTTCTTCAAAATTTCCTTTTGGTATGGCTCGATGCCAATTTGCAAGAATCAGATAACGATTTTAAGAATTCATTGCAACATCTTCGAAAAATTGTGGCATCCATCACAACGTTTACGGATGCCCAAGAATGTGTTAATTTCCTTAGTGAAATCAAAAAAGAAAAGATATTTATGATCGTATCAGGTTCCTTGGGTCGTCAGATAGTACCAGAAATCGAAGTATGGCCACAACTGGAAGCAATTTATGTGTTTTGCGGCAACCAATCAGTTCATGAACAATGGGCTAAAAAAATAAGCAAGGTTAAGGGTGTATACACAAAAATTGAACCAATTTGTCAAGCACTTGAAATCGATCGACAACGATGTGATCAAGCTATGATCCCGATCAGCTTTAATGGTCGTGATGCATTATTTATGTATACACAACTTTTAAAAGAAGCACTCTTGGAGATCGAAGATGACAATAAAAAATCCATCAAAGATTTGGTCGATTACTGCCGTGAACAGGATGATATTTCTGAAGATCAAATTAAACAAATAGAACGTGAATATCGTAATCATACACCAATATGGTGGTATACAGCGGAGACATTTATTTATCCCATGCTCAATCGTGGTCTCCGACAAATGGATGTCGATATTATCCTGAAGATGGGTTTCTTCATTCGCCATTTACATAATCATATTACCGAATTACATGGCGAACAAAAAGGCAGCATGCCAACAAATTTTCAAGTCTTCCGTGGACAAGGTTTGTCCATGGAAGATTTTGAAAAAATGAAAAAAACCAAAGGAGGGCTTATGTCCTTTAATAATTTCCTGTCAACAAGTCGCAGTCGTGAGATATCTTTCAACAATTTTGCACGACCAGCAGCATTAAATACAAATTCAGTTGGTATTCTCTTCATTATGAACATTGACACGGCTAGTTGCACAAAATCCTCAACACCATTTGCTGCAGTAAGCAAAGTTGGCTACTACAAAGATAAAGAGGAAGAAATACTCTTTTCAACACATGCGATTTTTCGTATCGATCGCATTGAACGAATTCACCATAATCACTGCGATCGGCTATACGAAGTCACTCTCACTATTGTCGGAAATGACAATCATGAATTGAACACACTTACAGCACATATACGTGAGGATCTTGGTGGTCGCACAGGATGGTCTCGACTTGGGTACATACTTATTAAATTGGGTGAGCCTGCAAAAGCAGAACAACTCTATCAAATTCTCCTTGCAAAGACGTCTTGTGATCAAGGTCGAGCGGAATACAATCATCAACTTGGCTGGGTGTATGATGATATGGGCGAGTATTCAAAAGCACTTTTATATTACGAAAAGGCACTTAATATCAACGAGAAAATTCTCCCTCCCAATCATCCCGACTTGGCTGGTTCCTACAATAACATCGGGATGGTGTATGATAAAATGGGCGAGTACTCGAAAGCACTTTCATCGCACGAACGATCACTTGAAATCCGTAAAATAGCTCTCCCTCCGAATCATCC